GTCAATTGGTCCATTGTAGCCATAGTAGTCACGTAAGTAGTACGTCATAATTATAAAACTCATTAAAATTCATCTCACGAGTTTTGAAGTAATTAGATGGAGGAGGGTTCCCTGACCTACGCCAGTCATGTCCAGTCATCAAAGTGTGGCGTAACTGTCTAGGGGTAAAAGTTTGGACCCCGATCATAGGTTTTGGGGCTACGTTTTGTGGTGGATTACCTCTATTAGGTATGCGAAAAACGTTAATATTGGTTGTAGTTAGGGGGTGTAGCTCGGAACATTTGTTGAGTTCGACTTGGGCCCATACGTTGTTGGTATTAAGCAGGCAGATTATTAAGGTGGTTGCATAAAATGGGGTCGAGGTTGAGGTGGCTGTAGTGATAGTAACGGGGGAGGCACCTTTGGTACATGGTGACTTTTGGGTGCATCTCCTCGTATTGCTGCAAATAAATAACATTTAGTTCCTCCTGTACATAATCAAGAGCTTTCTCGATAGTGGGAGGGTGCATGCAACGGATGCGCGACCCTAAGGGTTCGTTTAGCCCCCTAACAAAGGCTTGCATAGCTACTTTCCTATAGAGATTGCGTTTTGCTTCAATCGTTGTACTTATTATCTCGTGTAGGCTAATGTAAGTCATAATAGTGCTGAATAGGGTTTGGCAATGTTCGTAAAACTCTTGGGGTCACTCGTTAGTAAAACTGTACTCTGGGCCGTCCTTAACATATTCGATCACAAATATTAATAAATCTGGTTAATATATTCGGGTTCTCGTCAAAATCGGGTACAAGGTGAAGGGCCTTGAAAATTGTATCCGTATCCATTCTAACAGTAGCTACACTTTCAGTGGGGTTGCCCGATGACATCATTATCAAATTTAAATCAGCTAATAAATCTGTATCTATATCCCTATATAAATCTACAGCGTGTTGGCGAGCCTGTTGCGATACAGGTGGCCGAACTCTTAAACTCTTAGGATGAAAAATTTTTACGTCTTTTAATAACTAGGAATAATGGAATAAGGAAAAGCAACACGAGAGAAATTCAAGTCTTACATGTACAGCATAACTGGTTTTTCTCTGGAATCGATATTTGGATTCTCCTCTGGGCTGTAGCAGGTCCGTAGATTCAGGATCCTCGGCCAACGGGGCTAGGAAGCCGCCCGGGCGACTCGCGATCGCGGAATTGCTTATACAGATCCCTAATTATTCGCGAATCGGAAAGGAAAAATTACATATGACAAAATTACATCTAAATAGCCTAATGATCGGTTCGAGGTCGGAACCAGAATGCGTTAAAAATGTTAATTAATTGTACAGTATAAGAATGCAGCGTCGGCAACTCGTGGCAGCTTGGCCTTGGTGTTGGTGCATCGTAATAAGCCGTGGTTGCTACGTAAGCGGTCTTCCTTCCTTCCATTTACGTAATTTGCTCGTCATTAATCGACGCTATACTGGTGAATTGTTCTGAAATATATTGGCCACTGCACTGACGTCATAAATCGACGAAATATTAAAAATAGTGCGAATAAAGAAGATTTCACCTCATCAATTAAAAGGAAGGATGCCAATAATGTAATTTAAATAAAAAAAGAAATAAAATTCGAATGTATTTCATGCACGCTCGGTCATACATCATATCTGTTTTCCCGGTAAAAAATGGTAGCATACCAGTACAATATGGCGTCGGATTCGTGACGTCATTACAGTTTGTCTATAAAGTCGTGACATGAATGTTTGAGGAACTAACATTATTCATGTGTCTGGCAACACCAAACTTATGTACATTAGCTGTCATCGAGTTTCAGCTGTGGAACAGTTTTCCTTTTGTATTTTTTATTGTTTGGATTAAACTGTAATAAATTAAGACGAAACTACGCAGAAAGGTATAAAAATGAGTAAAGTAAATCGGAGTGGCACGCGGGAAGTGATTTTTAAAGTTTTCCAGCGATGTTTCGAAGACTACCAAGCTGGACGAATTTTGTGGGATTTGGATGATGTTTATGGGCGAACAACATCAATGACGGGTATGTAATCGTTTAACTATTTGTTTGTAATCTGTCTGAAGTTACAAATTTACTCAATTTACGATTTTGAGACCAAAAAAGGCATTGTTTACATTGCACATTTTTAGGTTAGATTGACATTGTAAATAGGTAATATTGTAGTACGACCATTTCTTTTGATACGTTATTATGGTTCAACTCGGTCAGGTTTTCTACCAATTTTGAATTAATTGCTTCATGTCAATAAGTTATTGTTTCTATTCAGTTACATATTTTTTTAATTTTTTTCAGGAAAATCAGAGAGTCGGATAGTCAACGAAGGTATTAAAAATGATGGAAAGTTTGAAACTCCTGGAAAAACAGGCAAGGCCGACCAAAGAAAGAAATGGTCACATGAAGAACCATGGCCAGATGCTTTTAGTGAAGATACCTATCACTAATAGGGAACATGCAATATTTTTATTTTTGCTTTCATTTTAAAGAATTCCATGTAGAATAAACCACAGATATATTAAAAAATTAAAACATTGTGATTTATCGGAAAAAATGCGGTTTTAAATTGACAATTTAAATTTTCGCGCGAAAACGAACCTATGGTTGCGATGACGTCACTCCGGTCTGTCACTGGTCGTACTTGTTCGTCGCTGGCTTTAAATTTTCATACTTTTGCATATTTTTTCGACTTTCGAAATATTTTTTTGAAAAATTTAAAATGGACTATCCATCAACATCATGTGATCATAACAATACCACTAATATCCCGAAAAAAAGCCGTGTTAACTCATGTATTGTGCCAATCTACTTCAACAAAGTTTCCAAATAAATTGTTTTTGACTGGAACTTCTGACCCAAAACTGAAATTAAAATGGTTTCAAGCTGCGAAGAGAAATGACAATTATTCTCCAAAGACCCTTATTCGATGCTGTGAAGATCACTTTGACGTAAGTCGGCGAATATACTTGTTATATGCTTAATTAATCTGCTTGTACGTAAAAACGCATTAGTAACCTACCTAATACTTACAAAACCTGTCTATAACATATTTTTAATTTTACAGTTGGAGAATGACGTCGAAAATAAGATAAAGTTTAAAATGTGTGGCACAATCTTCACATTGGCAGGACTGAACCAAGCTTTGCGTTTCATTTAAAATAACTGTAACACGATAACCTTCTTTACGTACTTTATGCTCCGGAGAACTCGACCTTTTACTGTACATAATTCTCCATCTCTTTTAATTTGGACATAGCCGATTGCATTATCGCCGTAAGATTTGTAGAACCCGCCGAATGAAATACGAAGTTTAACAACTACGATTTTTGCATACCGTAGTAATATAGTCCCTTTCATTTCTACACTTTTAAAACTCTGCACTTTGGACAAAAAAATTATAACCATGTCAATACTAACTCTTGGTAAATTCCTGGAGTTTGCTTTGATAAACGCAACTTCCATTTTTATTAAATGTAAAAAAACGCAATTAATATTCCCATAAAATAATATTTACTTTTACAACCATAACCTCAAAGAAGTTGTCATAACAGGAGTGACGTCACTAAACGCTGATTGGTGTTTTAAAATACGTTCTGATTCAAGTATTTTTAATTCGTAATAATTGTTAAACAACAACATTATGTAAAATAAAAACGTTGCAGTGGCATTTCTTTTATATTTTTTTAACATTTTAAACATAAAATTTTCATAAATATTATATATGCATCTTCCCTATTTTACTAACTGCACATTAACAAATTGTTTATCTAAATAAACTTTTTATATACTATAAAATGATTTTTAGTATTATTTTCTTAACAAGTGTGTTAAAAAACGTCGTATGATGATACTTGTGTGTATTGATGATTACCTAACGGCTCTGGTCTCAATGGCACCTCAGCGGTAATCACCAACATTACACACTTTTACACTATAAAGTACTATTTTATCTATAATAATTTTATTCTGATTCAATTAAATATGATTGGCTAAACTATTTATAAGCATTGGTACCTACTATATATAAAACAGTAATAAAATATGACTGTATAGTGTGTCTTATTAATTACCTATTTTACTTGAATGAACTGCTAGTATCAAAATCATTTTGGTCAGACTGTATAGGGTTTGCTACATACATACTAGTGGCGCCATCATTTAATGTCATGACTTTATAGACAAACTGTACCACTGACCAGTATACTGATGTATATTTCGGAATACACCCTAGATATCTTATAATCAAAACGCCACGGATAGTGTCAGTATGTTGATGGAGAAACGCTTAATATTAGTGACTACGGTACCTGATTCTGGCATGTTTTTTGAGCTTGGAGCTTGTCTTTGGCGGTGGTCTCCTTTTTTCCTAGGAAACATTATAGTACATACCGCGCTGCCGAAATGGTTTTTTTGTTTTGGGAGTAGAGTCAGGCCATTAAATTATGCCTCTTTAATTTTAGCATTCGCAATATTGATAAAAAATTAGAAAAAAATGAATCGAACTAGAAAGAAGAGATAAATTGTGACTTCATATTACGAGTCACGCTATGTGACATAGTGAGAGCATTGTTCTCTTTGCCTTCCCTGAAAAAGGGAGAATATAAAAAAATTATGTCATTGTCATTTTCTTTTTCGTTTTTCGCGCGCAACAGTGTTGGTTGGATAACGCTAAATAGCCTTTTCATAGAAAAAAACCAATGCTAACTTAAAATAAATCAAAAACCCTTAAAAGTTATTACTCTATTAAAACAAGGTTTTTATTTTTCTATCTTAGATTCAATAAAATACCAAATATAAAAGGTACTACTATCTACTCACTTGCTGATACAAAGTAAACTAATTATTGTAATTGTGTTTGGTTGTTTTCTGTGGGTTTTTTCGAAATAAAGATACGTCTGCTAAGTTTAAACAGTGGCTGAATGAGTACTGAATGTTACTTTTAAAGTTATAAATTTTCTCCACCTATTTACTTTTATAATTCAAGCAAGCTAACAACCTATTACAATGAGCAATTTGGGGCATAAAAGCTGGGCTGCGCTGGACGAAGATTCTGAAACTGAGAGTGGTATGTACATAATAAATTGTTTGTGCATTAAGCATCAGCTTAGTGTTTAGACATGAGAACTACTGATTTCACATTGATTTTATTGGGGATAATTTTTTATTTGGGTGATTTGCTTCATTCTGAGGTATATAAAATATTAGGTATGTTCCCCTTTTAATAAAAAAAGTACATTTACATATCTAAAATTGGTTTTACAGGTAAAGTTGTGCAGTCTTTTGAAGCACCAATCACAAGAGGAAGTAAAGAGAAGTTAAAATCAGTTAGTAGAGAAAATTCAAGAAGTAGAAAAAGAGTAAAATACCACAGCAACAGTGATTCTGACTCTACAAAATCAGTGTATGTAAACATAGTAAGCTATTAGTTAACGCAATAACTGTTTGACTGATATCTTGAAGTACTTATTTTATTTACTGATGTTAACTTTAATATGTAACTGAAATTAGTGTTGGGCAAATTTTTTTTTGCATGTTGATTTCTGATGTTATGTTACGTAACATCTCTTGCTCCATCTATATTCATCAATCCCTCATCCTGCATGAATATTCGTTATTTGGTGCTTGTAAAGTATTTTTAAGTAAGATACATTATAAAGATCATCTGAGGAGTCTACTTTCAAAACCCGCTAAAACGGTTTTTGACAAAAAAATAGTTAAGTCTTCCAAAATATTTCTGAATATTTATTATTCATATCCACGAAATATTTAGCTGCAAAACCCGCTTAATTCTATAAAAAAACAGTGATCTAAAATTCGTATTCGTTGCAAACTCCACTATAATCCACCAAAAATGCGCGGACCAATCACAGCACAGGATTCAAATCACGTGAACAACTTGGTGATGTCTGTTAAAAGGTGTTATGCAGAATGATGCGATGATGGGTAAAGGCGTAGGATCCAACACAGTACATGGCACCAATTAATAAAATTGTGTTGTTTTAAAACATTGAAGTTTGCAAAGCTAGGGGGCATATTAATACATTTCTTCATGTGTTGTGAAAATATTATTTCTTCAAAAATTATCAAATGCACGTGCATTAATTATGTTGAATTACTTCATAAAAAAAGTAGTTGATGAAGAAAATATGTGTGAGCATGTTGGGGAAGAAGTTAATTTGCAAGTTTAAATGTATGTACTTATGATTTTTTTTTTAATTTATGTTTGATAAAAAAAACCTTGTTTGTTATTATGGGTTTCTACCAGATAGTACCAGATAGTGCCAAAAATATATTTTAACAAACCCTAACTTTAATATTTCCATAAGAATATCTACACAGTGGATTATTTTAATTCGTGCATGTAGGATAAAACCATCCATACCTCAAAATCTATTCAAATCAAAACCCGCCAAAATTTACAATAGTCGTTGCAAAACCCGCTATAATCAAAGGTTCTCATCAAAATCCACTAAAAACAAAATTCTTTTAGCACTTTATCAGTTAAATTCCGTGTTTTCCTTGGGAAATCATGTTAAAAGTGTTTATAAAGCACAAATTAAAAATTTATGATGCTTACTTTAATTGAACTGACCTTTTATTTAAAATGAGGTGTTTTTTTTTGCTAGCTTATATTTTCTGAAAAAGATTTTAGTGGATTTTGAAAGTAGACTCCTCATCTATCAATTTGATCTTTATAATATAGTTGCTTTTCACTAATCTTCTTTGATCAATTTCCCTCACTAATTAATGAAGTCTATTATTAGTGGAAACAAATATTTGTATCTATAGGAATTCTTAAAAAAACTCAATGTTTAATGTTCTTTCAGTAAATCTTCTAGAAGACCACTGGAACTAGAGACTGATGTTGCTATTCTTCAAAGAAGACAAAAACAAATAGATTATGGAAAGAACACTGTTGGATACCACAATTATACCCAAGAAGTTCCACTGTAAGAAAACATTATAAATAAGTTGGATTTTGCTCTAGTATTTTGCTTTACTTAAGGTATAAATAATTGTTGCAGGGATAAGCGTTCTAAAGAGCATCCAAAAACCCCTGACAAATATGCAAAATATAGCAGGAGATCTTGGGACACCTTAATAAGATTGTGGAGGAAAAAACTCCATGAATATGATACAAACAATTGTGATGACACAGTGGATATTGCAGAAGAACTAGATTCAGATAGTAGTAGCAATAAATAAATCTGAGATTCACTTTTTTATGAGAAGGCTGAATTCAAACTTATAATATGGTTAATTTATATCTAAGTTTCATGTAATGTATACTTTTTCCTAGGTATAACTTGCGCCAATAAAAAACGAATATTAAATGACGTTTTCAATTCGTTTCTTATGACACTAGTTATACCTTGTTTTTACTCTCATTATGAGTTTTTTTTTTTGTAAATATTCGTATTTTAAGATGGATATGAAGTAGAGGTAGCCTCAGCATCAGGTTGAGGCATGCACGGCTCTTCCACTTGCTCAAATTCGTAATGCTCACTGCATTTGCATTCCCAATGCTCAATTGTGCCTTACGAATTTAGATGTGTATAAGTATGTGGAATACTAACACATTTTTGATATTGTTTTTTTAAACCTTATCCCCCTTTTATCAATAATTGGTGCCACCAAATGAATAAATTACTCATAATCTGTGCTTGATAAATGAACAATTGAAAACTAGCTTTCCCTTGTGTCTGATATTCGAAAGTAGTTTTATAGAAGTAAATGTGGTGTACATCAAACATAAAATAAAATTTATCTGAGTGCAAACCATGGAGCAAATAGAAAGAAGAACTGCTATATTAAATGTAACACAGCTTCTGATCAATGATGCACTGACATTGTCATTCAATAGTTCTAGCTACTCAGCAAGCAGAGGCACTGGTATATGTTCGAAAAAAGTTGTTACGCTTTTTGTTCTTTGGAACCTCCCTCTACTTTCATCCCCTCTCAATGGCTTCACATTTGATATCTTAGAGCAAACCTAAAAGTAAAATCATGCAGGGAGCAAACCCTATACAACACCTACTCTTTGTATTTGCTCCAACGATATTAAATACGCAGTAACCACGACTGAACAAGTTGCTTGGGCTAAGCAGTTCTACTTGGTACGCATCTTTAAACTTAATGTTTTCTTAGTTCAACATATTTTTTGTAGTGTTGATTTTTATTAAACAGTAAACTGATAAATCACGTTTTACAATACATCTCACCAGTTCAGAAGCAGTGCAGAAGTAAGGAATATTGAAAATTAGGAATGGCATACAAAAGTATAATTAATTACTTTTTATTCGTAATATTAGTAAATAGTTGTAAATATAAAATTGCCTTTTACTAAAAATTGTCGCACCATGATTTCCAATATATGTAGGATATTAATACTGGAACTACTATTATTTGAAACTCATAAACCCAACAGACGATGTATTGCGCTATAAAAATATTTAAAAAATCCGAATGTAGCGCATGGGATAGGGTAGTTATAAGTTCAGTTTTCTAATTTTTCCCCAAATTTCTTAAATTTAAGAGTTCCGTACTTAAAAAGAAAAAAACTTGTCCGTCTGTCTGTCAAGACCCTTTATCTCAGGAACACGTGGAAGGTATCTATAAAATTTAAACTATATACTCATTGCCCCAAGCACTAACAACTAGCGAGACGGAGAAAGTATTCGTATCTTCATGTTAACTATGTAAAAAGCCACTTTATTGTTACGATAAGGGCGCTGCTTATTTAATGTAAAAAAAGATGACCGTTTATGTTGCGTACCTACAATGAAGGAACCCTCGGTGGGTGAGTCCGGCTCAACTTTTTTTATCGTAAGGATATATAAAATTCTCGTGTCACGGTGTGCGTAATTGAACTACTCCGAAACGGCTCGACCGATTTTCGTGAAATTTTATATGCATTCAGTAGGCCCGAGAATCGGAAATCTATTTTTCATCCCCCTAATTTTACTCTTAATATTTTTTTGGACAAAATTTTTGTTTTAATTTTTTTATCATCATATGGTACATCATTCAAAAATACAGTCATACAACCCTCAATTTTCACCCTTCTACCACCAACCCCTATTTTTTTATGGCGGTACGCTGTGACAGCTAGTTCTATTCTCTGTTCTAGTTAAGTCAAATTTTGGGGGATTTATTTTTATGCATACAGATATCCTGAATGATGGATCAAGTACACACAGGCAAGATAAAGATACTGACCAAAACAAAGTTATGAAACCCGACGCCACTCCACGCGTCTCAAATCAAAATGTACTATTTTCTATCAGACTAAAATTATAAAAGTGAAAGTTTGTGAGTTTGTATGATTGTTACTTCTTCACGTCTAAACGGCTGGAGCGATTTTAATAAAAATTGGTATGGAGTTGGATGAACCCTGGATTAACACATAGTCTACGTTTAATTGCAGGAAAATATAGCTAATAAATTGCGGGTAACACCGCGGGGCACAGCTAGCTATATACATATTATAATAACAATGGGTTTGAAAAGTCATATAACATTAACTCCATATCAGTCACGAATCCTTATATCGATAACTAGGATTTTCCAAAAGAACCATAAATTGTAGGTCCTAAAATTAGTATACTTACTCATTATCAAGCGTAAGATCATGCCATCATCAGCCTATTTATCTCCCACTCCCCACTGCTGACACTGACTTTCCCTATGGATGGAATAGGGAGAATGTGGCATGATTCCCTACGCGGGCCCAGAGCCGGTATGAAATACTGTAGATGCATCTGGTTCAAAAGCCTTAAAGTGCCTTGCCGAAGGAATCCGAAATGACAAATTTTCAGTCAATTACCCAAAGATCGGCCATTGCGAAAGTTTGCTTTCACGATCGCAGATGATTGAACGTGCTAACTACTTGCGCAACCGAGCTCGTAAAATATAGGTAAGTCATAAATGTCATTTTCTACAGCCGAGCAACCCCATATAGAACCACTAGTGGCGAGTTACAGCCACAACCTGTGGTCGAGATTTTTTCATACATTTTGTATAGTATCGGTTTCTGCGTAAACTAAGGCGCTTTGCAGACGACGGGGCGGGGCGGGCCGGTCAATTTCGCCGCGATCGATAGCACAAAGTGAATCCTATACTACAAACGCATACAGAGGCTAAAAAGACGTTCTGAACTGACTGCCTTTGCCCGTCGTGCTTTGTGTACGCGGCGAGGGCAGCCGCAGACATCGACGGGCAGACGCGGTTTTTATTGCTTCGCGGACAAAAAGCCCGCCCCGCCCCGTCGTCTGCAAAGCGCCTAAGCGTTCGAGCCACAAGCTGCGGGAGTAAAGTGGGCAATTTGGCATTAAGATGAATATGTTTTTATATTGGTCCGATTAAGCACTTCTTAATTAATATATTCTAGTCCGTTTTCCACCTTTATTTGAACAATATTTAAATAATAATTTGAGATTTTTGTTATACGTTATCCATGCAATGCGATGCCTTCCAAAAAGGAATGACTTACGGCGATATTTTAGTAATAGTTGGATATAAAATAAGTATCTAGTTCTTGAACTGTACTTTGGATTTAAATAAAGGCTAATGAATGTGGCCGCCACTAGCGACGTCGGTGATCGGTAGCTGCGTCTAGCTAGTGGCTTTATGTGTTGTTGCTCTAAAAATCAGGGTGCGTAATTTTTTTCGCTAATGTTATAAACTCTATAAAAGATAGTAGCGCTGTCTTACGCATAGTTGTTAAATTTAAAAAGACATAAAATCACTTGATGAATTTACATAAAAGGAAAGTTCTGGCTTTATAGTAACCCGTTTTTTTTTAACATTTATGACTTTTAAGATCTAGATTTTATTTATTGCTTTGTGCAAGCATTCTAATTTCTACATAAAATACAAAGAGACGATTAAAATTTTAATGGAGGGTGGTAGTCAGTCTTCAGCAGACTCCCAATTTTTTGTGACACGTAGGGCACTTAATTCTAAATCGTTTGGCAAAAAACTACAATTTATTTTATTCCCGTTTATTAAAATAATTATTATGATATATAACTATTTATTAGCAAATTTATATATCTACTAGCTGACCCAGCGAACTTCGTACCGCCCTAAAAAAATAGGGGTTGTCCAGCGGACAAAATTGTGAATCTAAACCATTCTCAGATCCCCTTGAACACACACAAAAAATTTCATCAAAATCGGTCCAGTCGTTTAAGAGAAATTCAGTGACATACACACTCACAGAAGAATTATATATATAAAGATTTCTTGTTGCCAAAGCACCAAATATATTCTATTCAGTAGGTAACTAAAGCAGTGATAATGATTCTGTTCATCTTTCATTACAGTATTAGGTATTTTATTTCAAGAAGAACCAACTACCTACCACTTTTGAACCATCTGCAGTTCTGTAACTCATTCCCTTTCCGATCTAGAGATCCGTGACTTACGGAGACAGACGACGGCAAAGCGCTGCTCTATGGAAATATAAGAAATTGTACGCGGAGCGGACGTTCGCTCAGTGCTCCCGCTTAACGCAGCGCAGGCCGTTACCCTTTGGGTACGGAACCCTGAAAATTATTATCCTGCTCCGTCAAAGACAAACGTGGGTCAAACGGTTCTAAGTGGTCTTTGCAGGCTTTCCTTATTAAAGCTTAGCATATATCATCCTCGGTGAAGAGCTCGATGGCGCAGGTGGATAGCGCTTTCCGCTGCGATCGTTGAAGTTAAGCAACTTTCGCAGTGGTCGGTCATTGGATGGGTGACCAAAAATTTACTATCTCGAGTTCCTCCATGCTTCGGAAGGCACGTTAAGCCGTTGGTCCCGGCTGCATATGCAGTCGTTAGCACCCACCAATCCGCATTGGGCCCAATGGCCCAATCTCCCTATTCCATTCATAGGGAAGGCCTGTGCCCCAGCTGTGGGGACATTAATAGGCTGATGATGATGATATATCATCCAATCCTATATAAATATTAATTATAAATTGAAATCTTTATGTATCAGACCGACTGGAGAGACTAATGAAGATTAGCTATTATAGGTATAATATTACGCAATTTTAGGCGCAGTTCAGAATGGTCGAATAAGTGTTAAAATAGGATTCAAATGTCGTGATTCACCTTTAGTTCATACGAATGTAGTTTCATAGTCGGCCCACAGGAAAGAAAGACATCATTAGTTGAAATAGTTTTGAAAGAAATAACGATACCACTCCATATTATTCAAAGCCATGACTTTATTTAAATATATAGCATTTTAATTAAGAGGTAACTCGACCCTGTTCAAAATGTCACGGGCCTGCTTCACAACAACATTAGTTTTAGTTTCTGCTGCAAGACTTTGCAGTTTTTCCATATACTCTTCAATGTTAGCATCTGTTGCACCAGCTGGGCCACCTAGAAATAAAATTTATTTTAACTTACGATAAAATGCAGCAACTGACAAACATTTGATCGACAAATCAAACAGACCTGGTAATGCAATTGACTGCAAAGCTTGAACTAATGCAGCAACAAGTGCTCGTCTGTGGGCCAATAAAGCAGCTGTCCTTTCGGCGGCGGCCGCAGTTTCAACGCGTAGACGTGATGTGGCACCGCTTACTTCTTCGGCATGTCTTTGCAATATGGCATTCTGTATATAAATTTGATTGATTATATTGATATACAAACTGCACATTTGTTTTAACTAAATAGTTTAAATAAAGATTACCAATTTTTAAAAGACTGTCTGTATGTTTTATATGCCATTTCTCTGGCAATTTTGGGTAGATTTTCAAAATTATTTAATTTCCCAAAGAATCTGAAAGGACTTCGGGGATGTGGAATGGAACTCTTCGTAAGGCCATGGCAGAACAGTTGTAATAAATAATATTGCTATAACTAAGGGCAACACACAAAACTGTGATGAACTATATAGCATTATGCAATGCAAATATGCAAACTAGCATAGTGCATTATAAGAATAAAAAAACCTAATGCACTAAAACAAAAAAAATAGTAAAAAATATACATATTCTTTCTTTACTTATACTTAAAATCAAATTAATAGCAGCAAACGGTAAATCGGATCTATCAACATGCATGGTACTGACTCCAAACGATTAATTTGATTTTTAATGTAACTATATTAGATACAAGTACCTACAGAATATGTATTATTTCTTACTTTATAGTGCTTGTTTATTGAATTCGGAACAAACGCTCAAATTCGTTAGACAGTGAGGTAAACCATCCATGCATATCATTTCATAACGAACAAAGGTTATCATCACCATCATTGTTATATTCGTATTTGCGTTTAAGGCGCGCTGACATCGGAACACTCTTCTCGATTAAAGCCTATTCTAGATGTAATCCAGCGTACAAACCAAGGTGACCTTGGTGGGAACTTGGTTTCCATCCGCGTCATGATTTTCGGCTACACGGATGTAATCCACGCGCCAACACGCAAACGCGAACTATCTTCTGGCGTAAAAACACGTATGCATTCGTATAGTGCGCGGACCGTATTAAAAGTGTTGTAGAAACGGCTCCAAATTTGTCTTAATTTCAAAAAGTGGGCTTTGCCTTAGCTATTGCACAAAAAAGTGTGCAATAGACGACGAAAAACAAAAAAAAAAGGGAAAGTGGATGAAGCGTGTGTTAAAGAGCGAATCATTCTCAGCCATTCAAACTTATTGGAGTTATTGAACTATAATGATATTCATAACTTCCTAAGAATACGTGCACGCATACGTGCTGACCCGCCGACTGCCACAGCGCAAATGTCTTTGGTTGGATGTAATCCGTCGGCCAAACGGTTGTAATCCACGCGCTCCAACCGCGGATGGAAACACGCGCCCGTTATCCAAGGACGTTGAAAGTTTAAATCAAAATTTGGGTTACCTACATCCTTCGTCTAGATGGATGGCAACGGGCAAGGTCACCTTTTTTGGGACCCTGGATTACATCCGTCTAGCATAGGCTTAATGCATTGTTCAAGTCGGGTTCTGAGTGGCAGTGTTATAGGAAGAGTTCATGTTGGTTAACATACGTTAGGCGTACTAGCTCTTGCCGCTTCTACTATTTACGTGGTTTTAGGTGGTGTACTTGACGTCCTCCGCATCGCTAAAGTCACTGAGTACTAGGCGAGCAGAACATATAGAAGACGTATAAAAATCGGAATACATACGAGGTATACCAAGTAACGCACGCTGCCAGCAGGACAGAATAAATACGTGGAAGTAGAAATAGGATCAAACTATGACCATACAATATACAGCTGGCGAGGATGTAAAAAATCAATCCACGTCAACCCGACACCACCAGGCGATCATAAATCATAGGCGCTTAAGTACACAGTATTCCAGCATATGCTTGCTTACGCATAGGCAAGTTGTTGTTTATTCTCCCTCACTCTTATGCAGTAACGTCTCAATACCGTGAAAGAAACCTCAGAACTAATAGAAAGAGAGAAAGTATAAAGAACTTAATTATCCTTGTGAATGTGTCATCTGATGTCTGGTCCGAGGGGAAGTAGCTGCGGTGATTTCCAATATTAAATGTACGCGCGTAAATGTCCAAAAAAAAACAAAACTAAAATACCAGGCTTTTAGTTTTCAATGGAGACGCAAATATTAAATTCAAGATTTGAAAACTCGCGCGCAACATACAATGTTCATAATCGAAAGGTTTTGAAAGCAGTAAGTATCAAAGCATATCTGACTGAGTACTTTGTATTTTTTAATTTTGTTATTTAAAAATTCCTGCAAAAATTATTACCAATTTCTATACCTGGTACTAGGCGTTCAGAAACGCAAAGCGCAAAACGCTCTTCAAATACTCGATCCGATCCCTCGCGGAATAATTGTGCGACATTCGTAAAGATCAACAGCTGTCTTTTTCACACTTTGTGATCGATTGCAAAGAGTACAGAGTATTCTTTTCTGAGTGTGGCAATCAGTAGTTCCAGTTAAAGCAGTCCTATTTTTTTATGATTTAAAATCAATAATTTTAATATTATTAATTTAATATTATTAATTGAAAATTAGATACGTCAATTCGTAAGTAAGGTCCGGGTGAAAGTCTAGGGCAACTTAAAGTGCTATGCTTGCATACAATTATTTCTATGATGTGATAGTGCAATAACTCCTATAAGAAAGAAAACCAATAATTTTAAAAATGTTATTACCTGTTGCTCATAATCAGAATTAGCTTTCCTAAGTTGTCTAAGTTCAGATTCTCTCAGTTTATTATGCTGCAGAAATTGATCTGTGAATATTGGTATGTCTGTGTCTCCATTGTGCATATCTTCACCCTGATAAAAAATAATTTGTGTTTTTATTAAATATATACATTTTAAATACCTACATTATTTAGCTGTAATATTTATCTAATATAAAAAAAAAAATATTCAGTTGCAACAGGGATCTGAATACAGAGTGTGTATGCGAAATTTATAAATATGATTTGCATAAATTTTCATTCTATATCTTATAACCTTGCAATACAGCATTTATAAAACAAAATTTCAACCAAACACTCACTAATGCAGGAGTAATGCAAGGTTTGGGCCGTGGTGGGGTCTGCTGCCGAGGTGTGGTGATTGTTGAAACTGCAGCACTACTACCATTAACTGCTGAAGTATTTTGATCTGAAGTTATCTGAGTTTGAGCTGCAAGATAATATGAATAAAAAATGTTATTCAAAATAATGAAGGATCTCGAAGGCTTTTTTTATTTTTTGTATAATAATATAGCAAAATATATACTTGGAATAGGTACAGTTTCCTGGAGGGTATTATGTTTCACTTTCTTTGCAGCAACACTAGATTCCTTTTGTTCCACTTGTTGCCTTCTAAATTCTTTATAAGAATCTGTTTTTTTGTATTCTGCCCATTCTTTTATGTACCTGAAAATTCAAATGTATAAAGGTAATTGATGATTTATATAAAACTGAGTACCTTACAGCACCACTCAGCTTCTTAAATAAGGCCATACATTCTATTAGGCATAATAGTTAAGAAAATCTATTGTTGGAAATATTCAAATGTTATGTTAGCTTAATTGTGCATTGCAATTGCCTGACTTAATGTGGTTGTAGGGTCATTAGTTGATAACAATAGGGATGATGACAAATTTTTTTTTCTTCGTTTATCAGGTAGATTATCAAAAAGTATTGGACACATATTTTTTCTTTTTTCACATAATATAAACATTGCAGAGATATATTGATTTGAAAAGTCGCATGACGTCACGTTTGAGTACACTTATAAGTGAAAAATCACTCAAAAGTGACGTCACGAGCCCCTACCCCCAAACTTTGATGCGCTATAACTGTGTAATTTTTTGGTTGATTGCCCAAAGAAAAAATATGTGTCCATTATATTATTTTTTGATCATCTAACTGACGGACTAAATAGAATTCCGTTTACTGTACCCCGTCATCACCCCTATTATAAGACTTTTCTTTTTAACTTCACCTAATCTGCAAAAACCACAGGTCACCATACATGATGCGATTAAAAAAAAGAGCCTACCTTTATTTATGTAACCAAATGTATGGTAAAGAAATAAATCATTTTTTTTATGATGCTCAAGTAAATCCATAGTTGTGGGTTCCTTATGGAAGTACTAATATTGTGACAAAATGAAATGACACTTTCTATACACTATTATTAAAACTAATTCACCTTTCTTTGTCTTGATCAGCAGCATCTAAATATTGCTGTTTCTCTTCAGCTGGTAATTTGCTCCACTCACTTGCTAACTGGCGTGTTAACTCTGCAAACCCCAAATCTGGTTGTTCAGCTCGAAGTTGATCACGGCGCTCATTTAAAAATCTAACATACCCTATAACAAAAATTGTTTTCAACATTTCAATCAAATTTATTTTAAAATAACATCTGCTCAGATTTCACACAGGAACCCCATAAATATATTTAAAAATCTTGTTATATTTTATTGGTACCATAGAACGGCGGCGATTACCAGTAAGCGGTTGGCGAGGAGCAGTGTTATCCCGAGGGACTTTAGGTTTCCGTTTCTTCGGCTTTTTAGGGGAAGTTTTCTGTACGTCCTTAACACCGGGGGTAGGTGCAACTTGGTCGGGGGCAACCACCATTGAGGACGCAACTAAGCTATTATTTTGCTTTACAACTACAGCGCTTGTTGTGTCTTCACTTGGAGGATGTGCCTCGACTTGTTCCGTTTGGTGGCCTTCGGATTGCATAGTAAGTAACTTGAGTTTTCTTCAGTTAAAGAGGTGTACTCGCATGTATTTAAAATCGTACCAACAGATTACCACAAACAGTATAGTGAGATTATGCGTCAGATTAACAAGATTATGTCGCATCGCAACGATCGATGCTTCCAATCCAAATATTGATGACTGACATTATTTTTTAATCTTTTTTCCCATCTTGGGAAAGGCAAAGGCAGAGCCATGCAGCCATAGTCTTCATTTTGATGACTGACAGTGACACTGACACTATTTGTAAGCATACACATTTTTTGTAGTTCTCCGTTTTTTTTAGAAGGGAAAGGAAACAATGCCCATACAGCCTAGCCTTCAGTTTTTTTTTTACACTAGGATGTGGGTGTGACGCAGTCGTATGTTTCTTGGAGTGTTTGTCACTAAACGTAATGAGACAGATTTCTCGATAAGCTTCTGTGAGGTAGTCAACACTATAGTTAAGTTCTCACATCCACTAGACCGGAATAGCGTATATTTTAAAGAATCCAATGTTCAGTTGTGTAGACGGTTGTTACACAAAATCACACCAATTTTATTTCACATTATCCACTAAGAACGAATAGGGAAGATGCATATATAATATTTATGAAAAATTTATGATTATAATGTTAAAAAAATATAAAAGAAATGCCACTGCAACGTTTTTATTTTACATAATGTTGTTTTTTAACAATTATTACGAATTAAAAATACTTGAAACAGAACGTATTTTAAAACACCAATCAGCGTTTAGTGACGTCACTCCTGTTATGACAACTTCTTTGAGGTTATGGTTGTTAAAGTAAATATTATTTTATGGGAATATTAATTGCGTTTTTTTACATTTAATAAAAATGGAAGTTGCGTTTATCAAAGCAGACTCCAGGAATTTACCAAGAGTTAGTGTTGACACGGTAATAACTTTTTGTGTCCAAAGTGCAGAGTTTTTAAGTGTAGAAATGAAAGGGACTGAATTACTACGGTATGTAAAAATCGTAGTTGTTAAACTTCGTATTTTATTCAGCGGCTTCTACAAATGTTACGGCGATAATGCAATCGGCTGTGTGAAGATTGTGCCACACATTTTAAAGTTTATCTAATTTTCGACGTCATTCTCCAACTGTAAAATTAAAAATATGTTATAGACAGGTTTTGTAAGTATTAGGTAGGTTACTTATTCGTTTTTACGTACAAGCAGATTAATTAAGCATATAACAAGTATATTCGCCGACTTACGTCAAAGTGATCTTCACAGCATCGAATAATGGTCTTTGGAGAATAATTGTCATTTCTCCTTGCAACTTGAAACCACTTTTTTTTCAGTTTTGGGTCAGAAGTTCCAGTCAAAAACAATTTATTTGGAAACTTTGTTGAAGTAGATTGGCACAAAACATGAGTCAACACGGCTTTTTTTTTCGGAATATTAGTGGTATTGTTATGATCACATGATGTTGATGGATAGTTTATTTTAAATTGTTCAAAAAAATATGCGAAAGTATGAAAATTTAAAGCCAGCGACGAACAAGTACGACCAGTGACAGACAGGAGTGACGTCATCGCAACCATAGGTTCGTTATTGCGCGAAAATTTAAATTGTCAATTTAAAACCGCATTTTTTCCGATAAATCACAATGTTTTAATTTTTTAATATATCTGTGGTTTATTCTACATGGAATTCTTTAAAATAAAAACAAAAATAAAAATATTGCATCTTAGCTAATCGCACTCTTAGACCATTAAACCACAGGACTAGCCTCGCAAGATCTTTCCCCTCTGTCAAGGTATAAGATCAAATGATCCAGTGCGTTCATAAAAACTACTTACAATCGATAGATTTCCACAGTGTGAGAATCGTTATCGTAGTGACAACAGCCCGTGTCTCCTCGCAAAAAAATGCTAACCTGTGCCGTTTTAACGTGCAAAAAAAGATCAAACACCTCTAATTTACAAAAAAACGGGATAACATTTCACATGTAAGTGTTTTTTCTATATTTTAGTGCTTTTTTTCAATTAAAAATGAATTTTACAATAATCGAGAATAGAAACTTGCAAGTAATCGTGTGAGATCCAATTCGAATATGTGCCGAAACATATTCATATGATTTTATACCTTATACTTAAAAAATAGAGTCCATTTTAGTGACCTTAACTATTTATCGGCGAATTATAGTCTCTATTGCATGCACCCCACGAGACTTGCAAACGCACTCCCCACGAGACTCCATTTTTTAATTATCAAGTTTCGACCTTAGCATTTAAGATTCGAAATAAAAATTATATAACTTGAATTGAGTGTAGCGAGACTATTTATTTACGAATTTTAAGTGATGGGAAATAAAATTGAAAAAATACTATCGATATATTTTTTTTTGTTTTTTTGAACGCATAAGACTCATTTACTCAAAATTAATACATTTTAAAAATCAAATAGTTTGATATTAATAATACATTTTTTTTGTTTTTAAGCATGTAATGGCCGCGTCGAAATTCTTCTAGCCATACTTAAGCTGCAAGGCAGCGCCATCTCTTCGCATTGTAGGTAACCCACAATGTCAAATGAAAACTTTTACGAGTATTAAACATTTGAAAGAAGAAATTGCATTATAATTTTTTTTTAAGCATGTAACTGTTAATATTTAAATCTTAAGAAAATATAACTAGAAAACATAATAATACATGCTTGTGTGTGCTTGCGTATGCTATATGAACGTAACGTACGTATGTATTTAATACATAAAAGCCAGAGTAGAGAAAAAATACGATAAGACAGCTGGTGGTTTCATGAAGGTTTAGTAAAAATGAGATACTTTAACATTGGAATGGTGGCAGGAGTGTTCATTAAAACAGAACAAATAAACCCAGACTCTGCTCGTTCCCCGTACGTGATAGCGTGATAATATAATATAATATTCGTGATAATATAATTCTTAATAATATTCGTGCCAAATTTGAAGTAAATCCATGCAGTACTGTTTGAGTTTATCCCGGACATATAGACAAATATTCTAAAAACTATATTTTTGGCTTCGGTATCGATTGTAGATCACATCCCAAGTATTCTTTAAAAATTATATACAGTTTTGACTTTCCTACCATTTTATTATATGTAGGTATAAATAAATATATTACAATAGTAAAATCCGTTCAAAAGCTTATTCATAACAGTACATCATTTGATTACTTTTTTGGTGAGCATATATATTTTGAAGTAATGGCTACAAATTAAACTGCAAGTTGAATATTTGTTATTTAATGGAATAATTTCGAGCTACTGTTGCCGAAGGCTCTAGTTCTTCGGGAAACAGCAAAAAATAGATTACCTACTATTAGATATCAGTAAAATAAAGTCAATGCATGATTATTTAATTTTCTTACGTGCATACGTGATTTACAGGATTTCTAAGATTGTTGCTGCAGGCAGAGGAATTATTTGCCTCATCCACTCTCATAACATTTTTGATATAGGTATATACGGTAGTTCTGATACTAGCCTTTCTTTAACTTCTTAGACAACTAAATCTCAGGTTGTAGGTACTTCGTTAATAATGAATGACCGTACGTTTTCTATTACAGTTACAAGGCAGTACTTAAATATACTTATATTAAGTAAATAAAACAACACAGTTAATTATTTCCAATTATTTTTTATGTATTGTACTATTTGATGCAATCCTTCTTTCCCAGCACTACCATCCAAATACTCAACTTCAAAGAATATATTATCATCTTTTTTAAATACTTTTAAGTATGCTTGTATAAGTGGTTCTGTACTTTTAAAATATTCTGCGTTATTGTTAATGTTTCCATTAGCAACATCGACTTCTTTTATTGTGTCAGAATGGCTGATCTCCTTATGAATGTCATCTCTATTAGACTCATCATCATTCACTTTCATTTTCTTAACATTATTTTGTTCAACGCCTTTCAATAATCTTCGTTTTCGCCGTTGATGAGACCATGTATTTTTGATAGCAGTAAACTGCATTGTAAATTTATTTCCAATTTTGTTGAGGATTTTATATTCAACATCAAGGCTTTTAAATATTGACCTTATTTTTTCTGTACAGGTTTCCACATTATAAGTACAATCTGATAGCTTTGGTAATGAATATATTATTGGTGTATTCTTTTTTCGTAATTTGTCTCTGGGACCAACTGCAAAATCAAAGAACATTATTTATCCAAAAGATCTAAAAAATTAGCATTTTAAAAATAGAACAAAGGTTAGCTGGTATACTGTAGGCTATGCACTTGTGTACGTCCCGAAAATTAGTATTTTAAATGCCTATTAAAAGCCTGCCTACTACATCTACAGGACAATGTTAAATGGTTGCTAAAGGCACATTTGGTAATATTTCCAGCACTAGTGTACAAATAACATCTGTATCTCGACGGAAGAGTAAATAACAGCGAATCTGCCCTACCAACGTCGGTTAATTTTAAACGTTGGTGTGGATTCTGGCATGTTCTGTAAACCTAAAATTAATGAAAGTCAGTGTGGATAGTGGCCGAAGGACAACGAATGAACGCTCAATTGAAGCGAAAGAGAGTAGCGTGCACGCTCGATTGACTGTCTTTGAGCTTTTTGCCTGTGACCGTGACGCGACCTTTATCAATAATTCATTCGACTGTTCACCCGCGCGATCGAAATTGTACTTGCGAACGGACGTCCGCTCCGTACTTAAGGCAGCGGAGGCTCTAAGGCTTAGAACGCACTGCGATTAACCGAGAGCGGTTGAGGAATAGCTGAAAACGCGTAACCGCATACAACCACGCACTGCGGCTGGCGTTTAACTTAATTTTATTTCAGTATGACCATGGATTTCTGGCAAGCAGCGTGTTGTACCTTTGGTTTTAAAAAATAGAAAACGTAAAGATCGTCGCCGCTATTGGTACTGGGTACATCCATTAACAGATCAAAGACATTTGAAAGGATACTTTTGCAAAATGTACAACGACGTGCGACAGCATCCAGTTAAATTTTTTAACTACTACTAAACGTCAATTGGTACTTTTGATAAATTATTGCAAATTGTGGGCGTTGATGACGACGATGTATCTGATTCGGACGACATGACTTAAAGTGTCTACACACGTCCCTTAAATCAGAGGCAATCTCGAGAAAGTGGTGGGGAGCACCCTAAATCGCTCCCTAGATCGCCTCGTGTGTAGGCAAATCGTAATCATCATTATTATTATTACCCCTAACTCAGAAATTGGAACGGGCGAGCTCACGATTTAGGGCCGATTATCATCTAGGGAGCGTTGTCAGTGCGTGTGTAGCGAAATCGGGTCCGATTTCAACGCAGTGCTCGTGCGAGCGTAGTGCGAAGAGGACGCGTGTTGGTTTTATGTCCTTTTTATTCGTGCGGAGGTATGGCGAAAGAAAAGGAGCGAGAGGCCTGGACGAAAACCATAGATATTTATAAAGAGTTGGCGTATTTATGGGATAAGAAACACAACGATTATCTTAATCGCGACATGAGGCAGGAGGCCTTTAAAATGTTATTACAAGTATATAATGAAAAGGTCGGTAAAGACAATACGATGGCCGATTTTAAGAAGAAACTTGAAAACAAAAACTTTAAATCCTCATAGCTTTGTCCAGTAGCCAGGAAACGTAAAGTAACTATAAGTCGTTCTCTTGGACTTATGGATATGGTAAGGTTCTCTCGCATAAGGTATTTTGTTTTTGTATTAATGGTGTCACCAAATTCAGTAGCTCTTCAAAACATTCAATATCCATTCTTAAAAAGTTTTTCAAATCAACTGGTTCTAAATGTCTTATAACGTTCATATGACTGAATTCATGGCGTTTCATCAACCACCTCTTAACCCAAGTCTTCCTCTTTAGTTTTTGTTTTGGTCGCACCGTATTAAGTGCCAGAGCGATGCCTATTTTTTGTTGTTTTGAAAGTGTGGGCGGCATCTTGGATCGACGAGCGTTATGTTGCACGGTGGGCTACGTACTGATTGGCAGGGACGTGTGTAGAGTAGTAGCCGATTTCATCCCCACCATCATCCGATATCGCCTCTCCCGATATCACCTCTGATTTAAGGGACGTGTGTAGACACTTTTATCCTCACCGCCAACAACGACTATCCGCTGCACTCGCTCAGTCGAGACTGATTTTAAAAACCGAATGCTGTTAACCGCCGTGCGTGCGCCACCATACTATAATTTTAGTACTATGGGTCACAAAAAAATCGCGCGTTTACAAACCGCGATCCAAACGTAACAAGTAACGTTTTTTATAATCAGTCTTGCGTTTTTAAAATCAGTCACTGAAATATATCTAATAAATATAAAATTCTCGTGTCGCGGTGTTAAGGGTAATCCACCCCTAATTTTTGATATTTTTTATTTTATTTTTAATGATACATCATACAAAAATACATACATCCCTAAAGGACAATGGCGAACTCCCATACAAATTTTTGTTGAAATTTTTTTTTGCGTCTATAAATGAATTGCATGTTAAATTATAGAGTTTAGATTCTCAATTTGATTCGTCTGATTTCTTTTATTATAGGAAGTCAGGATTTATAGATATTCTACTTTGAAGTTTTGGAGGTTATGTCATACCAAGTAATACAAAAACGAATTATTAAAGTATTTTCAAGAGTATTTTTATATCAAAATAAAATGTATACGGGTCCCGTAGATTAGTGACGGAAAAAAAGTTTTTTATAATGTATGATCAGTGGGCGTAGGTACTGACAAACCGTGTCAAAATACTTAATAATACTAAACAGACCAGGGTTATTTAGTTCGAATAAAATGTCTGTACTGTAAGAAGAACTTAACAATTTGAAAATGACCACAGCAATAATAAAGTATAAAAAAGGGTACTTAATTCCATTATATGTAATTGAATTTCGGGGTAATTTGGGGGAGGTATGTAGGGGAGGGGGAGGGGGGCTCCTCCCGACCCCCCCGCCATAAAAGATTTTTGGCGGAAATGCAGTTTTTTTTACCTAACCTAAAAATTCATTAAATCTGTTAAATGTAGTGGAATTTCAGAGGGATAGGTATTAGGGAAGACCCCTCAGAGGGAAGGGTAACCCCCCCCCCCCTCCCGGAGTTTTTTTTACAGAAATGATATTTATAAAAAATTAGAGGGGTTTTAAAGGTAAAACTGTACTTCCAGGGCCTAGAGGTGATATTTGATTTTTTTGTAGAAAAAGTCTCTATTAACGAATTTTTCTTTCTGGAGCTTCGCTCGCTCGGCTCGCACGTTAAGGTCACAACACTAACCTAACCTAACCTAGTGTGAAGTATCACCACACAAGCGGCTCATTAGAGTCCAAAACTCGCACTACACTCGACTCTTCAGGCAAAGGGACAGCAGAACTCGAGGCCGAAGGCTTTGAGGATGCCATGGTAGTCAGACGATGTTAATATCAACAGGAATCCGAAAAAGCTCTCAACTGCGACGAACACAAACACTGACTGACAGATCTCAATAATGGCGGTAATCACATTTTGACAATAGTACCAACATAATAAACTTATATTTACCATAGACAACGAGAAACACGTTATTTTTGCATAAAAAAATGGCAGCACTGATCAGAATTGCTGTCAAAATTGACTCATAACCTACAAAAATATTAATTTTCAATAATTTTTTTCTCGAGTTCTATTCGTTTCGTGTACGAGTTTTTAATAGTTAATACCTTGCGTGACAAAAAATTCAGCTTGCAACTCAATTACATATAATGGAAAGGTGAGCCTAAAAAAGAATTTCTAATGCGATATTAATCAAATATGAAACACTTTTTTATATATTTTTTATTCCATATCTTTGATCACAATATCGTAGATAGTAGATACAATGAAATAAAATCCACAGTATGGGACACAATCGAGTCCAAAATCCACAGCAAGAAGTCATCCGAAATATCAGATTCGGAAGTCTTAGGCAAGCACTACTCAACAGTCGCAGGGAAGATTTCAAGATTCATTTAAATTGTTGCAACACGCATGCACTTAGCACAAGCAACGATGTTAACAACAAAGAGTAACTTATGTTTAAGGGAACAATAACAACAAAATTCGATGACAAGCATGACAGTGACAGTTATAGTTTTTTTCGTTACAATTGTCGCCATACTCTTTTTGTATTGTGGAGATTATTTATTATGGTTTCAATATAATATTGAAAAATAATGTTTCCCGATATTTTTGATAGATAATTAAATACAGTTTAAGCGTAAAGCGATGCAAAACATACGAATAATATATTTAAAGTTGATTTCATCACTAAAATCACTTAAAATAAATGGCTCAAAAGCCATGATGCCAAGCCCCAATAAAAATAAAAAATAAATAGTCAATTGTGTTTCCCTTTTTTAAGTTTTTAATTCCAGACGTAGGGTGCGGCCAGAGTGCACTCAGATTCAGAGTCAGATTCAGATTCTGAAAACAAGCGCGAGAAATAAACAGTGTAGTCTAAGCAGTTTGCCTGCTTTTTCTCGCGCTTTGTTTTCTGAGTCTGAATCTGAATCTAAATCAGGAGTGCAATCTGGCCGTACCCTTCGACTACACTGTTTATTTCTCGCGCTTGTTTTCGAAATCTGAATCTGAATCTGAATCAGACTCAGATTCAGATTTCGAAAACAAGCGCGAGAAATAAACAGTGTAGTCTAAGCAGGTTGCTTGCTTTTTCTCGCGCTTTGTTTTCTGAGTCTGAATCTGAATTTGAATCAGGAGTGCAATCTGGCCGTACCCTTCGACTACACTGTTTATTTCTCGCGCTTGTTTTCAGAATCTGAATCTGACTCTGAATCTGAGTGCACTCTGGCCGCACCCTTAGGCAACCCTCCTGAATTTTTTAATAAATCTTTTGAGATTATTTTATTAACATTTCTGGTAATAGAATCTATAGACGCTAAAGATTTACTTCAACAAATATTTCGCCATTGTCCTTTTCAACGTTCTACCACCAACCCCTTTTTTTTTATGGCGGTACGAAGTTCGCTGGGTCAGCTAGTATAGTATAGAAAGCTTTGTGTTACATTTTCTTTTTCGGTTTCAGACTTGCGATAAACGCGTGACTGAAACCGCAGTGCGTTCTAAGCCTAAAAGCTGACTCACACCGGAATGGCAGCGGCCGAAAGCGACGCGGCGAGCACTAAGTGTGAAATAATTATGAACTTCATCTACATAAAAGAACTTAGAAGGCCAGTATCACTTGAAAAGGTTCCACGGTGTTGCCAGCTGGCGGCTACGCGACTTCTACTTGCTTTTTAAGCGATACCAGCCTTGCAAGTATGTAGATGAAGTTTAAAATTATTTCACACTGTAAGTGCTCGCTGCGTCGCTTCCATTCCTGTATGAATTGGCTCAAAGTGCTTTGGCGAAATCATATAATGCGGCGCGCTACGACTTGCCGCGGCTAGTAGTATTATACGAGCTTTAACCTACCTCACGGCAGACTACTGAGTACAAGTATTTTCATTACCATAATCTCGACTTTACATCATACACATATGTTTTGCACTTTATAGAACTGTTGAAAAGACATTCGATACAATAATGAAAGTAAACCCTACAAGGACCATGAAGATGGCTTATCACTTACTCAATTTATAGATATCATAGTCTTGATGAGTCCATGCAAGGCCCCAACGTGTCACCCGACCTTGACAGAATTCTGTGTGCGTAAATTTTATTTCATCAGCACTAAGGTCTTGCACTAATTCCTTTAAATTATACTTGTGGCCAATCATTGTTGTAAAAATTCTGAAATTTTACATTTATCAATAGCGATCAGTTTTGAGGAGGCTTTTTCAAATAAAAAGTTGCTAGATGATAAGTTACTCACTTAACTCTATCTTTGTATTTATGACTTTCCGTAATTAATTTTCTACAAAAGTTCAATTCTCCACCTTCTGTGATAAGTTCTTGAGGTGATCCCGTAAAAGCATTTTTTGGAGGGGGCCTTAAACAGAAAATTAAAAGATTGCATGGTTTACTAGTTATACTTATGTTTATCAGAGATACAAAGACAATTGGTTGTCAAAATCCACATAATGTTACGTATGAAGCAAAGGCCACACTCAGTTATACTCGCCAGTTTGTATCTAAATAACACAAGGGAAGGTTGAGATGTGTTCTACTGTAGCCTATCCTCGAAAGTGAGGGACACAATGTGTATTACATTTACCTTGTAGGATTGCGTGAATCACAAAGATCTTGAACACTACTGTAGAATGGAGGGTTGCACATACAAAAATCAAATGACTGATCCTTTTCCTCATCCAATGCATAGCTGATTATTGTAGACGAAGGTGTTTTGGTTACTGAAAAATACAAATTAGAGAGTTCGTACTCATATTATAATTCACTAGCGACCACCTGCGACTAGTTAACTTTGGTATTTATACAGTCAGGAACCTTAAAAATGTTTTAGGATAAAAAGTACCTATCCTATGTCTCAATTCAGGTCATAAGCTATGTGCATGCCAAATTTCATCCAAATCTGTTCAATAGTTTTTGTGTGATCGAGTAACAAATATACAAACTTCCACATTTATAATATTAGTAAGAAGTCAACAGAAACTGCTAAACTGATTTAGATGAATTTTGGTATACGCAACAGCAAAACATAAAAATTTTAATTTCTGTATTGTATTATTTTTATTAGATTTAATTTTCAATTTGCTATGTACAGATTAAATCATAATTAAAATCCATTAAAATAAGAAAAGTCATATATCACATACTTATTGTCTCATTTTGGTGGGCAAAGTGCCTGGGTGTTCTATAGTACAGGTATCATGGCACCCACATCAGACATCCGCTCCAGACAGCCTACAGATTTGTCAATTTAGTATATTTTATACCTATTTGAAATTGCAAAAGTTGTGAGGAGAAACAATTATAATAATAATAACTTACATTTAATAAGTGATTCCAAATTGTTATTCTTAATGTTTTCCTGAGCTTTCTTAACACTATCCTCATCAGTTTCTGTCCCTATCATATGCCATTTATTTTTGATTGCTGCTAAGACAGGATAAATAGCACAAGCTCCAGTACCTGTAATTGGAAGGTTAAAAATTAAATAAAAAAAATCCCTATTATGAAATTATGATTTTTACAACAATATAATTAGCATTAAAAGTACCTATTAGTCTATATGCTTTAATAATTAAAGTTTGAAAGCAATGATCACTGGATTATTGTTCTAAAAAGGCCAGTTTGTTCAACTATTGCTTTCTCTGTCATCCCACCTAATTTATAGTGAAAGTTATGTTATCTCTTAACACTTAGGGACCCGCGCTCCAAAATGCTACACAAACACTCGCTACCGGGTCCTGTGGACCCAGACAATATTACGTGTTTATTCGAAAACTTCTCAGTGAAACTGGTTGGTGTTTTTAAATATCGTTAATAATGTCCAAAAAATAAACAAATATTTTATCAAATACGAATATTTATTGTTTTACTTAGTCAAATAGTCAGTACAAAAATATACCGAATCTTGGCATAGTTTTACGACTAAACTTAAACATAAAGCTGTAAAATCTGTAACGATATATTTTTAACAAAATTTTCTTTACTTTAATATACTACTATTATGTATCTACTAAGACAAAATATAATTAAGAGATCAATCATCATAGGAATAAGCAAAATCAACTATCAAAATCAACTAATTTTAGATTATTATTTTTAGTATATAATCACTTTCCATCATAGTTCTACATTTTTCTTTATAAAACTAAGCTATAACAATTTGCACAAATTTGTTTCATATGTTCTCCACAAACTGGGGTATTACATTTTACGCAAAAAACCTTGGTTTTCCTGTCTTTCTTCCAGTTACAGAGACCGCAACGTACTTTTCGTCCACTTGTTGGTAAGGGGTCATCCATAAACTACGTCACACGAATTTCATGATTTTTTGCCCCTCCCCCCGTCCTTGTCACAGCTGGTCACATTTATGAGACTCCCCCCCTCCCTTGTGTGACGTCACATATTTTACAAAATTTAGAAATTATTGAATGTAAACAGCGGATCTGAAATTAGTTTCATTTTCATTCAAATTTGTTTTTTAATAATATTAACATCAAATCCAACAATTTAACAAAACAAATATGAATAGCATTATGATTACATTAAAGATACAAACTTAATAATCTTGAGTCCATAGACATTGAGCCCACTTCTTTAAATTATTTATAACAAGCATAGCACCACTTTGTTCTCGTTTGGGTTGTTTATGTTTTCGTAAAGTTATAGTTTCAACATTTCGATTATAATAGATTTTTAAATGTGACGTCACGAAATTTAGGACCCCTCCCAGCCCCTTGTCACACGATGTCACACTTCATCGACCCCCTCCCTCCCCCTTAACGTGTGACGTAATTTATGGATGGCCCCTAAGGGTGCGCTGGATGTTGCAGTTAGTTCTACTTCTAGTAATATGTTTCGGATACAGGTTTTGATATGCTCTGGAATATTAGTGAAAGAGATTCTTACACATAGATGTGGTTCGATCAAAGTAATAGCCAACATTTTGATAAAATCTCTTCGTGTGAGGTCATAAGAAGGTACTGTGGCCTTTTGAATAATGTAAGTATTTAGTCCACTAATATTCAATAACCCAAAAAATATACAAAGAGGCCATCTTTGAGTTCGTCTTGACACTGAATAATGTGCCAATCATCTGGTCAACTACATCGACTCCGCATTTGAAGGCATTGTAATCAGTTATTATTTCAGGCTTCTTTTTTTTCTCCAGTTTTGTCAACAATTTTGGCATCATGATGCATAGTGGATGTTAAGAGAACTATTTTGCCATGTTTGGGTATGTAACATATTAGTGTGGCATCATTTTGAAATCTTAAGTAGGTTTCGTGATCCCGTCTCCCTCTTGTTTGTGTAAACTCTAGAGGTATTTCTCTTTTAGTTTTCTTTAGAGTTCCTAAACAAGTCAGGCTATAAATGTCCAATAATTCTACCATCAATGAAACGAAAAATAGTAAACAAACATAAATAACTAGATGAAAAAAATCACTAACATATTTAGTCGCTACCGGGGCCAACGGACCCATACACGCCTTTCACGTCCATAGCACTCATACGCAGCGCGCTAACTGACAGCTAAGAAGGCGATCTATCGCCTCATACTATTGTCGAAATGTACTAAGAGCAGCAACATCGCAAAATTTGTAATTTTTAAGTAATTCAACAAAATAAAAGGCACTGGGTCCACTGGACCCATTAGCGAGTCCTTAAGTGTTAAGGAGAAAGCTAGAGGTAAAGGTAAACAATTATCCCTATGATTTACGTTTTCCCTGCTGTAAGTTATTCACGACGCATGTATCAAGTGACCAGTTATTTGACATTATACTATTATTATAAACCTTCTACAATTGTAATTATTTCACTACACATGTCAAAGATAAAATATCTGGTGGACTCAAAAACATTTAATAGAATCTTACCAATATCCAAACCCTGTATATTTTCAATTCTTTTAATAGCAGTCATTATATCTTCAATCCATAGAACATAATTTAGTCTCAAGGGTAGTGTGGGGACTAATTTATCTTCAGGAATATCAATATCTACATTGAAGTCTGATTTCAACAAACATTTGGTTAAAATTCTCAATGATTTAGGGTCCTTAAAATCAATTGTGACTTTTCCAGACAGATCCTGAAAATAATAACAATGAATATTAACAATTCAAAAATTAATATTTCACTCACCTTTTAATACAGCCCTAATCTAAGCATTGTAAGGCTTGTTTTGAGACATATTAGCTGTGCCCCGCGGTTTATTAGGGATATTTTCCTGCAGTAAAACGTAGCCTATGTGTTAATCCAGGGTGTCAGCTAACTCCATTCCAAATTTTATTACTTACAGCCGTTTACTCAGGGGTGAAGTGCCGCCCCGTAGAAGAAGTAAAAATACATACACACTCACAAACTTTCACCTTTATAATATTAGTGCGATTAGTGATGAAATGAACCCAAACATAACCAGCCATAACTAAGGCACAAATACTTTCAGTCTTCATACAAAGACTTGCCCTTACTAGGACCTCAAACAGAAGATACATTGAAAACAGATGTATCTCATCCCATTATACCACGGAGATCGTCAAGTTATACATTTCTTTCGATTTGAAGGAGGGAATAGATAAAAGTAGGACAATTTAGCCTTCTGTATAATCGGTAATTGTAGGTTAGGGTGTTAATAAATTAAGAATCTAATTAATTTAATATCATACATTTCTAATTAAGCAGACAGGTAAGATAGCTAAATAATAACAAACCAGCTTTGAAATGCACTTAAACTCAGGATAAGTAGCTGCTAACTTAGCAAAATCTGGGGGACTCCTGTAAATATTACGAGGATGCATAAAGTTATTTAGTGCCATTCTTCACCATCTACCCAAGGCTTCAGAAGTTCCAAATTAGTTTATTTTTTGTAATAAATTTAAATCGATTGAGAATTTCTATTGAAATTAAAATTGAAAGTGTGAAACTAGTAAATTTTCTGTCCTCACGATCAGGATAATTTTTTTTTTTTTTTTTTTTTTTCGTTTGTCCTTTCGGACAGGCTAAGGTCTGGGACCATACTGCCTCGTCATTAGTTATTTTTCTTCTTTTTATTATTAAAATTCAATATAACTTCCTCAGTTTGATAATTTCCGGTATATTTTCTAGTTTTTTGTTTTACTCTATTATTATGTGCTTTTTTCCGAGCACATTGAACATCTTAAACACCAAACATTTAATTTTTTCTCTTACTAGACAGTCCAATCATGAATTAATTACATCCTATATGAATTTCATATTTATTTAATATCTTTTTTATAGTACACATTTACACAAAAAATAAATCATAGACCAATACCATGCAATACCTTAATCCTAATACAAAACTTAAGAAAAGAAAAAACAAACTTAAAACAACGACATTTGATACGTTTCAAACTTGTTTCAAACCGACGACCTAAACGAAAAAGAATACCTACAAGCAAAATTACGAAAATAAACATTTTTTTCAAACAAATAAAAGGAAAGAGAACATGCGGTACCTATTAAACTTAACTGAGCGTTTTGTGTATGCAGAACATTTAACCTTAAAATCTAATACACAACGATATTACAGAATATTTATATTTCTTCAACAGTGTTTGCAATGAAATTATACAGAGGAACGTATGTACAATTATTTACAAGAAGATCGGTCAAGGAACGCGGGACCAAATCATGTTTGCCATAAATTTGGATTAGCTCATCCAACAACACAAGGCGCTGAATGCCGAAGGATGGGCAGTCAAAGAAAATGTGAGCTAGGGTTTCTTCTTGGGAATTGCAATGAGTACATTGAGCATTATTCACCATTTGCAACCGAAAGAGATGGAAATTAAGCCGACAATGACCAAACCTTAAGCGAAAAATCGTCGTATAGAATTTTCTATTCAAAAAGCTATTTGATTTGCAGAACCATGGCAATTTGTTTACATCAACATAAAGAGGTGTGTACCATAGACCTTTACCTTTAACCTGTACTATACAATTCCAATGGGCTCGCCACTCTTGGTGCATTCTTTCCTTTAGCAGAACAATCAAATCTGTATAAGGTATAGACATCTTCTGAGTATTGGTTTCAGTAGCTAGAGTATTGATAGATTTTGCTAGATAATCTGCATTTTCATTACCTGTTACACCAATGTGAGACGGAACCCACATGAAACTTACAATTATATTATCAACATTGTATAGATCATACCAGACTTCTTTAATAGCATGAATAATGTAATTGGTGTTTGCACTTAATTTATTGTTTTCTAAGTTTTTGAGCACACTCATGCTATCACTAAGTATTAGCCATTTTTTATGTCCTTGATTTTGATGTTTTATGTGTTTCAGAGCAGCCAAAATTGCTAGAGCTTCTGCAGTGAATACAGAGGAATTTTTGTCTATCTTGTAACCTAAACCAGATTTTATAGAGCTAACGTAAAAAGAAAAAGATGCACTTGAATCATTTTTTGAGCCATCTGTATAAATATGTTTATGATCAACCCAATTTGATAGTTCACCAAACACCTCCTCTTTAGTAGAAAGCTCCTTGTAGATATTTATGTCAATTGATGGAAATTTGCTCTCAAAATGCCCTTCATAGCATGGTAAGATTGAAGGCTTATAAATGTTGGAATTTTCGAGAAACTGAGTGAACTGAGGAAATCCTTGCATGATATACAAAGGCCTACCTGCCAGTGATTGTGATAAATATGAAATATTTTTTAAAAGTTGATTATTGTTTATTGAGAATAGCTTCAAAAGGAATCTTTCCTTTAAGTAACTAAATCTTATTGAAATGGGAGAAAGATTACACTCAATTTGCATAACATTAATGGGAGTGCTTTTGAAAGCACCAGTTATCAAACGCATACTTTTATTTTGAATTTTGTCTAGGATATCTACAATTTTGTTGTCATGAGCAAAACAAAAAAAAGCATACTCAAAATGGCTGCGAATCAAAGACTTATACAGTAACAACAAGATCTTAGGATCAGCTCCCCAATATTTATTTATTTATTTATTTATTTAAACTTTATTGCCACAATTACAAAAATGGACAAAAGGCGGACTTAACGCTAAAAGCATTCTCTGCCAGTCAACCTTTAGGCATAAAGAAATCCACGAATGCGGCTATAATAATAAAAAAAAAGTGATTTACTTTAAACATACACCAGTAAAAGTAACTACATAAATATTTATTTAAAAATAAACCTAAATATACATGCATAGAATACATTTAAATATATTACTTATATAAATATTTATAATATATATATATATATACATACACATACATAGACATAATTATTATTAACACCGTTTATAAAATATATTGATGATGAGACTGTGAAGGGAAATTGTGAGTTAAACTTAACGTTCTTAGCTTTCTAGGAGAAGTTCATGAACTTTCTTCTTAAAACTGCACCTAGTAGGTGACCTTCTAACGGAGTCAGGGAGGCTGTTCCAGAGTCGTGAAGATTGGAGGGCAAAGGAATCAGACATATAGCCAGAGTGAAAGAGAGGAAGAGATAGTGCAAGAGTATCAGTAGAACGAAGTTGAAGTTCATGTGAGTCACAAAGATATTGAAATTTGGATCGTAAGTATTCTGGAGAGTGAGGGTTGAACAGGATAGAATATAGAGTACACAGCATTCTCTGCTGCCTTCTTTGACGTATAGGAAGCCATCTAAGTTGAGATCTGAACGCCGATACGTGGTCAAATTTACGCAGGCAGAAGATGAAACGAATGGCATTGTTGATGAGACGATCCAATTTGTTCAGAAGATCAGCATTCAGATCGGGATAGCAGACATCAGCATAATCAATGAGCGGGAATATGAGAGATGTTACAAGCAAAATTTTTGTGTTAATGGGGAGAAAATTCCTAAATCTGTTTAAAACACGAAGTAAGTAAATTACTTTGCGACTTACTTCGGCAATTTGTGTGTTCCAGCTAAGAGAAGAATCGATGTAAATGCCAAGATTTTTGACACTTGTGCTAAACGGAACAATCGTGCCCTCATACACGACAGGCTGGAGAGACCCATAATCAATTTTGGCAATTTGTTTAGAGCCACCTACGATAATGGCCTGACATTTTGATGGATTTACCTTAATTCCAAAATCGACGGACCAAGCACTGATACGTTGCAAGTTAAGGTTTAACGTTTCGATGGCCATATCAACATCCTCAGCCGACGTCTGAGTATAGATTTGTAGGTCATCAGCATAGAAATGGTAAAAGCAGCCAAGCGAGAAGGAAAGGAGGTTAATAAAAACAGAAAAAAGTAAAGGAGAAATTATCCCACCCTGGGGTACACCAGCAATTAAATCGTTCCAATTAGAAAGATTTTGCTCAATGCGAACCGCTTGTTGACGGCCACGAAGGTAAGAGGAGAACCAATCCAGTGACTTTGATGAGAAGTTAAGGGATTTAAGGATGGCGAGGAGAATATCGTGGTCAACCATGTTAAAAGCGTTGGAAAAGTCTATGAGTACTATGACTGTAACCAACTGTTTCTCCATGCCCATCCTGACATCTTCAGTAACTTTGAGCAGAGCCGTAGTAGTGCTGTGTCCAGGACGAAACCCAGACTGAAACGAAGTGAGAAGATTATTGGAAAATACGAAAGAGGATACTTGGTGATGAGCAACGGCTTCAAGAACTTTAGAAAGAAAGGGAAGGATGGAAATAGGCCTGTAGTTACTAAGTAGCTGAGGAGACGAGACTTTCGGCAGAGGAAGAACGAAAGCTTTACGCCAAGCTAGAGGAAAATCACCGTTGAGAAAGGAGTAGTTAATAATGTGTACAATAGCTGGCAGTATATAATCTAGAATGTTGACTATCATTTCTCTGCTGACGTCATCCCATCCAACTGCTTTAGATTTGATAGACAGAATAATTTTGCGAATATCATCAATTGTCACTGGAGAAAAAGTAAAGGAATCAGAAAGAGATTGAGCTCTGGAAGTTATAGTATTGATAGCTTTATTCTTAATATGTGGGTCGAGAGAATTGGTTGTGGAAAAGTGATTATTGAAATCGTTAAGAGAGAAAGGATAGGAGTCAGGTTGCACAGAACAATTGCCCAAACCTAAAGAACGGAGAAACTTCCATACATTCGCCGAAGATGAGTTGCAGATATTTTCATGAAAATATTCCCGCTTTGCTGCCCTCACCATTCTGTTGCACCTATTACGAGCTGTCTTATATAAGGACCAGTTTTCCTCCGACCTGTCACGCTTGAAAGCACGGAATGCTCGATCTCGTCGCGTCATGGCTATACGGACACCTCGACTAATCCAAGGAGCGGGAGGTCGCTTAACTCTAACAGGCTTTAGCGGAGCATGGGCATCGTAAAGTTTGAGAACACATTGGTTAAAGTTTGAAACTTTCTCATCAATTGACGAAGCACCATACATCGCTGAGAAATCGAGCTTAGAAGCATCCCCCCTTAGTCTATCAAGGTCCAGTCGAGCAAAGTTCCGCATCCACACAACAGAAGGTTTAGTTTTTGGTGGTTTTAATCTATACTGCAAAAAGATTAGATCGTGTTTTGAAAAACCAGGGGCAGTAAGCTGACCGTGATTAATAACGAAATTAGGGGAAGTTAAAATTAAGTCAAGCCATGTGTCATGAGAAGTGGTATGATGTGTTGGCCTAGAAGGCAGAATGGAGAGATTAACGGACTTGACAATATCAAGAAGTTTAAGAGAGCGAGATGAGCTACACATTAGATCAGTGTTGAAGTCACCCATAATTATGTGATGTCCGTATTCCGAGCAGAGTGGTTCAAGAACAGATTCAAGCTGAGAGAAATAATCAACACCGGGGGGAGAATAGACG